TGATCAATCAAAGGGTTTCAACATTAAAACTACCTTTTCTGATGGATTTTTGAGGTGCATCTATAGTTCTACATTATAAGGCTGCATCTTTATATAAACTTTTTCCTATAATCAATCGTTGTATATTAATATAATGAAACAATCTTCAAAAACTATGTTAGGGCCATTTGTTTGACCCAAATTTTTAAATATACACTCTTTTCATTCTAATAAACAATCACAAAAAAGAAAAAATTTAAAACGCAACCCAAAAAGTAATTCTTTAGCCCAATTAACATAGGTAATCCATTTTGGTGAGATGCTTACATCTAGGGCTTAGAAGGATCTATCATTAGATTAACCATTTTTAAAATAAAAAAAAAATTGATTCTGAATTCATAAAGGCCTAGACCTTGAAATTCACCAAATTAACGGTTTATATTCATTTTTGGAGGGGACTCATTTTTTACCATATATAGGGTCCCAATTAAATTTTATTTTTTTGGGGGATTAATTATTGAAATGAAAAGAGTGTATACAAAATTTCGGATATATATATATATATGAGATTGTCTAAAAGGAGACCATTTAACTACAAGGAGATCACAACTATTCCCACTCATTAAATGTCAAATTGAGTGGCTTGGGGTGAGATACGAAGTCCGAAAATTTTTATAGAACTTTATATCTATTAAATTTAAAAGACAAGAATGCTTGTGACCTCCTTGTACAAAAATAAATGGTCTCATTGTAAACAATCCTACATATATATATATATATATATATATATGGTAAACCTTACAACAGCTGGCCAGCTATAATGAATAGTATATAGGTGGAATGGGAGTCGTTAGATCTTCATCATGTGGTTCAGAATGCATATCACTATTTTAATTTTAATTTTTTTATATAAATCTAATTAATATGAAATCCTGAGTGTATATACCTACCACTATTGCATACCATATAAAAATATAAAAAAATATTTTCAATAATTTAAAATGACAAAAATACCCCCATCATTTTTCAGGGGTATTTTGGTCATTTTATACTTTTGAAAATATTTTATATTTTTTTTTATTTGTGCGCCCTATTTTTTAGTACACATGTTTAAAATTTCATTATGATCCGATTTATAGAAAAATAATTAAAATTAAAACAGTGATATGCATTCTGAACCGCATGATGAAGATCTGAGGGCTCTCATTCCACCTATACTACTATTCATTAAAGCTAGCCAGCTATTGTTAGCTTTTTCCATATATATATATATATATAGAGAGAGAGAGAGAGAAAGAAAGAGAGAGCCATTGATCTCGTACCTGACCAAAACGCAAACACATTGCAAGACACCAGCAGTGCCTGTCCATCCTGAAGGCCCGCTGTCAGTGAGGGCATCTTGTATGAGGAGACCCACAGATGCTGCTAGAGACACAAAGGACACAACATATGCCAGGAAAAGCCACAGTTTCAATCTGCAATCCCATGTCAACAATGTTATTTGTAGTAGATCCAAGCTATTAATCGAAGAGCCCTCTCTAGAAACAATATATTCTAGTAATGCCATCATAATCATCCTAGGGAGTAGAGGAAAAACTTGCAATATATTTGGACGCTTAGAACATTCCTTTCAATATGGAGAATCACATCATCTATTTCGTCCAACACTCAAAAAGCAACAGCTGCTCATAATGCATGCAATCAATGACATGCTGCAAGAATTTGAAACATGATATGCATCTATATGCGAGGAAACTCCTTCATGCAAGAGACAAAATACAGAAAACACCTATATATGTACAACTGATTAAATTTCCATGATATCTGTATGCAAATATGCATGATAACTGCGTGTGTACAAGAAAATAAGCAAGATATTCCTAAGCATGTACAAAAGCTCAACAATTCCCTCAAATTCCTGCTGAACATTACAAATTTAGAATGGGGGGGGGGGAGAGTTCAGAATTAACCAGTTATGCTTCAGAATGATAGGTTATGCTTCAGAATGATAGGTTGGTGAACAAAGCATCCCAACTATAACTTTGGAAACAAATACAAATAAACATCTCCACATGCATAAATTATGGTCGGACTGAGGGTATAGCCCTTGATAAAGGGCAGAATAGGATTCGTATAGCCAACCCCAAATAGTTGGGATAACGCTCGCATGAAGATGATGCATAGTAGTCCTGGATGACGAAAGTAAACAATAGCACTCAATAATTTCATAATTCATCCTGTCATGAAAAGCCACATTGCAGGTAATATGTATGCCTTTTCCCATTTGACACATTAAACAAAATAAGCCCAGAACATGACAACAGCGAACTAAAAGATAAATATTCCTGATTTTAATTGATAGCATGTATATGGATTTAGACGGTACATATTTCATGCTCTCATAAAACATCGGAGAGCTTCGGGGACATGAGCCAGCACTTGATGTCTCTTGTCCAAAGATCCAGCCTAGACAAAGTTGCTAGAAGCACCGAGTCTAGACATGCTAGCTATATGAGAATGAGACAGCCCATAGTACGGTCTCTACTGTAGGAGGAATTTACAACAATGATGGAATCACCTGCAGGAGAAAATGATAGAAACTTGGAAAACGATTTTAGTCTCCAGAGGGAAGAAAGATCATCATTCTTTGCTTTCTTCATCCACCAAACACTCAATTGACCTACCCCTTTGCTGCATGAAAGAGAAAGGCGAGCCAGAGCTGTGGGATTATGAAGTTGTTACCCCGTCTAATGGAGATCATCAATTTGACCCAACAAACCCCAAACTCAATCACACATGATCAAGGGGGAGGCAAACCCAAAATTTTCACAGTTTCTGAAATATAAGCAGAGGCCTCCTGGTGCGAATCGAGCAACCATTGCCTGGTTTGCATGCACGCAGCAAGGGTGAAGAAGGTTTCGAGGCTTCCAATGATCACAGGTCTGCCATAACAGGAGGCAAAGGAGTTTGTCTTCGGATCCCCTGCAATCAGGACTCCTCACTACGCTCAGTAGGACCACGCAGGCAGAGGTTATATGGAGCTTTGGCACTCTCTCTCTCTCTCTCTCTCTNCTCTCTCTCTCT